TCTGCTCTCCTCGCCTGCCCTCCGCTGCGCTCGCCTCTCCTCTCCTCTCGCTCTTCTCATCCTCTCGCCTCTCCTCGCCTCTGCTCTACTGTCCTCTCTCTCTCCTCTCCTCTCTCCCCTCCCCTTCCCTCCCCTCTCCTCTCCTCTCCCTCTTCTCATCCTCTCTCTCCTCTCCTCTCCCTCTTCTCATCCTCTCTCTCCTCTCTCTCCTCTCCTCTCCTCCCCATCCTCCCCTCCCCCTCCTCTCTCTCCTCTCCTCTCCTCTCCTCCCCTCCCCCTCCTCCCCTCCCCCTCCTCTCTCTCCTCTCCTCTCCTCTCCTATCCTCTCCTCTCCTCTTCTCTCTCTCTTCTCTTTCTCTCCCCCCTTACCCCCCATCACTCTGCCTATCAAATAAATAAAAACACATCTTTAAAAAAAATAGCCATGAAGGCTCTCACCAGAGTCTGACATATGTAGTGGAACCATTAGACCCACTGATCAGCTGATTTCTTCATATGGGACCAATTTTCTGGCAGCACTGGTAGAGCCAGTTGGTCAAAGTGTGTATGTGAAAAAAAACACATCTTTAGCCATTTAAGGGCATTAAACTCTTTCATTCCACATTAACGTACTGGGTTTTTGTTGTTGTCATTTATAGAAAAAAATGTTATATTACAATTTCTAAAATCAGCACTCTGCTAAGTGCTGTCCCTCAAATTGTGTTTGTAGTCCCCACAGGGCACACTAGAAGCTTACTTGGGAGCAAAGCACTATGAAACTACCACCTGTCCAGCTTCTATCCTGGAAACAAGGCTACTGCGGATGGTTCCCAAGGTAGGTCGGCTCTCAACAAAGACACCTTTGATTTGTTTTCAGCACAAGGAAACATATCCACACTAAGCCCTAGATTTAGAAGCAGGACCAAAGACTCAAGTCCAGAAAGGGGCCTTGGGCCCAGGCAACACACTCAGCATTAAAAATATGGCATGGATCACTTAGACCAGCTAACATTTTTGAGAGCTTTCAAAGTCAGATTGCACTTAAGATCCTCTAGGAAAGCTCACTTTTTCCAAGAAACCTTGCAGAGAACAGTCTTACTCAGCAGAGTCCAGCCACCATGTGAATAATTGCTCTCTAATGTATTCAGCTTTGGGGTCGGTGCTGTGGTGCACTAGGTTAAGCTGCTGCTTGTGTCACTGGCATCCTATATGGGCGTCAGTTCAAGTCCCAGCTGCTCCACTTCTGATCTAGCTCCCTGCTAACTTGCCTGGGAAAGCAGCGGAAGTTGGCCCAAGCACTTGGGCCCCTGCCACCCACGTGGAAGACCAGGGTGGAGTTGCTGACTCTTCACTTTGGTCTGGCTCAGCCCTAGCTGTTTTGTCCATTTGAGCAGTGAACCAGCAGATGAAAGATCTCTCTCTTTGCTCTATCCCTCACTGCATTTCAAATAAATAAATCTTTTTAAAAATGTATTCAGATTTGAAATCTAAATTTCCCAGAGTCTGATACTGTGGTGTGGACCTCGTGAGGGAGGGTCCCGAGTTTCTCTTGATGCGTGCTGCAGGATAAAGGAGACGGCTATAGCATACCTCGTGCCACATGGGTTGGCCTTGGATGTTAGACTGCTCATTGGAGGTCCAAGGATTCATGTCAAAGAAAACATGATGTTGTGGCTCAGCTGGCTGTGGCCAGAGTTTGATGAAATCTTGTGGGGTCTCCAGAATGTCCATATCTGATTCAGAACTGATGGGAGACACAGAAATTGTTCCAGAATTTAGGCTATGCACCAATAGTGGCTGAGCCACAGAGGTCAACTGTTGCTCCGTAGGAGCAAAACTGGAAGAGAATAAACCTGTCACAGTGACCCAGATCTAGAAATGATGACCCTGAGACACTCTCCTGCTCATTAGCAGGTGCTTCAGACACATTTGGTGCAAGACCCAACTTGCCCAAGTAAAGTGAATGTAGATGCAGTAAGAAATTATAGTCACTTGTTTCATTTACATTTTCTTATTTATATTACTTGGACAGTCTTGGTGCTGCCAAAGTGGGTTAGGCATTTTACTTACCCTTAAAATCACTAAAGAAGCTGGCAGCTGAGTAAGGACTGCGACAAAGATTTTGTGATGTCAAACCCAGTGTTGGAGATCAAACCCAAAGCCTGGAGAACTTGTGACTAATCTATAAGCCCATTCCAGACTCTTAATCTACACTTTTAACACCCTCTTCAGGTGCATTCTGATGATCAGGTCAGTTGGAAACTATGACACTAACTTACCCCACATGCCCAGGTCACTGATTCTAAAACAAGGCCTGGGGGAAAACTCACAGAGCTTGGGGGGGGGGGGGCGACCATTTTAGAAAGCTAGCGTTCATTCAGAACTGTTATTGAGCCCAAACTGTTTGCTAAGCAATCCCTTAACTGCTGAGCGGAACCTTCTCCTTCTGACACTCGGAAACAGACCATTATTGAGCAGAAATGTTTTGTGCCTTCAGGACTTGGCTCTTACGTGTTCTTGGCAATGCAACTGTTTCACACAGTTACCTTGCATTGATTGTCAATGCATGGAAACCCTTTCACTGCTCTACTGTAAGACCCATATTCCAGGGATGTTTGGGCATGAGCCTGGAAGCCCAGGTATTACTCAGCTGTGGTCCCTAAAGACTTCTCTACAGATGCCCTGTGTTTAGAAACTGGGGTTGAAGAATCAAGCCAAGTGATTTCACGGTTTGCCACCTACTTCCCTAGTTGTGAGGCTTCCTAATCCCGTCCTTTTTGTCACGAGGACCCCTCAGTTTCATCAAGGGATGCTTAGCCATTCATCATTTGTTCAGAGACAGTGTGGGCAGTGGCCAAAGAGGGAGATGAGTTGAGAGCAGGTTTCTGCTGCTCAGAGCAGGGGTAAGGAACTTCTGGCCCATGGGCTGTATAAGGTTCGTGAAATCATTTGGTCTGGCCCTACCAAGGCAACCACAAGTGGAACTCAAAATTCAACAAATCTATATAGCACACTAATCTTTAAGTTAATAATTTTGTGAAGCCCACAGATGATGTTATAAATCTCCAAATGTCCCTTGGCACATAGAAACGTTCCTTATCCCAGCTTACAGAGAGAGCCGCTGGTGTCCCATGGCCATGACGGGGAGGCAGTGATCTCAGCCCTTATTACCATTATATGCACTTCTTACCTTTCATTTTGCTGTGGCTTCGAGTCTCCATCTTGATAATAGTCAGGGGACTTCTGCTCAGTTACTATCCGTAAAGGAACCAAGAAGGGTCGGGTCTGCACATACGTAACCTGCTTATTGTAGAAGGGTAAGGTTTGGCTTGGCAGACAGAGCTGCATCATATGATTCCCTACAGCGTTACTATGATGCTGTGACTGCTCCGGTAGCAACTGTTTCTGCAGCAATTGTTGTTGCTTCTGCTCCTGCAGCTGTTGCATCTGCTGCTGCAGCAGCAGCAGCTGCCCCTGCAGGTATTGTTCCTGCTCCTGTAAGTACCGCTGCATCAAGACAAGAGAAGAAGTAGCTCAGTGTCTGTCTGAACCTCCCAGAGATGTCATAAGTACTCCCACTCCGTTCTCCCAAAACCAAAGACCACAGTGGTCTGTCTCTGCACATAGTGGTCTGTGTGACTGTCTACTTGTTTGACAGGGCACCAGTTGGAATCATGCTCCCGATTGTGAGAGTGTAATAAGCCAACACATATGCACATGTATGTGGGCATAGTCTAGTGTGTGCTTGGCTATACCTGGCCCAGGACTTTTTACTATCTTGTGCAAATGAATTTCAGCCAACAAGGCAGCCACTGTGCGTTGGGAGAACCAAGTGAGTTCAAATCCTCATGAAAATAAAATCCCCTTTCAGTTACACACTTAAGACAGGCTTTCTATACCTGGTTGGAAGTAATGGTATGGTCGTCAAACATATTAGTAGATGTCAAAGAGCGAGATGGGCCACAGAAACGTTTGGCCTCCTGGACATCTGAGAAGGACCTCTTCATCTGAGCAGTACACTGGGTTTTGGATTCAGGACTGACAACAAAAGTGGTTGATTGCATCTGTAAAGACACAGTATCACAAACTTCTCATTCAGGTTTTACGCCTGTGGGGAGCAACTCGGACTGGACTAAGTTACTGGAATTGGGACTTATTCTATGCATCTGCTCTCCCACAGTATGGCGCTGGGAGAGGAGAAAACAGCTTCTACACAGCTGCCTCCAGTTCAACCAATAAACTGTAGGACCTGCTCCTGGTTGGAGGAGAGCAGCGTACTCGGCGTGTGGGCAGCCGAGTTAGGATTGGCAGAGGAGGACTATAAAGGAGGAGAGAGACGGCATGCACCAGGAACATCTAAGGGGAACATCTGAGGGAACACCTGTGCAGCCCCCGAGAGAGCCAGCCGGCGGTGTGCCGCTCCCCCGCGGAAGTGGGGAATGTGGCAGGGGGAACCGCCCTTCCACGGAGGTGGAAGGGACGGTAGCCAACCCGGGAAGAACCAGCAGCAAACCCGGGGAGGGCCGAGAAGACAAAAGAACAGCGCAGGGTCCTGTGTCGTTCCTCCACGAAGAGGGGGAGCGACATAATGGTGCCGTGACTCGGATATGAAGCCTAGGCAGGGTCCAGTGTCGTTCCTCCACGAAGAGGGGGAGCGACAACGCCTGTCTTTAGGGCACAAGACTTGCTAAGCATGCAGCTCGATTGCCCACAGAGAACCCCAAAGGAAGCCTTGGCTATACACTAGCCACATCTTTCACAGTCAAGGACTTTCTGGTCCCCATCTCACCTCTTGCAACCAAGAGCAGAAGGGGAAATCCTTAAAAAACTGCTGATAACTCCCATGGCTCTCTGTGGACAGCAGTTGTTTCTCCTGGCAGGCCCTACTGGCTAACTCCTTGAAAGGTACCACAGTCCTCCTCTCTTCTTCCTCCTGCCACTTAAGGGGAACCAGTCTCTGACCTGATACGTAGAATCCTGCAATGTCTGAAGCTGTTCCTTCATCATGTCCAGAGCATCCTGTTTGCTTGTAATGTCAGCTTGCAGCACTCGAGTTCTGTCTTCCAGCTGCTCCTTAAACGTCTTCATCAGGTGAAGTTCATGGCCATTAGTATAGGACACCATTGGCAACGACACTGGCTGTGGAAAGGAAGCCCTTATGATTCATATACAAGAGCATTGGGTTCTCCAAATCCCACCATACTGTTCTATTTCAAAATTTTCAGGCTGAGAATGTAAACAGTGGCGCTCCAATCCATATTGAACTCATTTACAGAAAGTCTGAAGAAAAGGCTAGAGAATCCAAGATTTCTACATCAGAAATGGACCATGCAGATCATTTAGTCTGATATTTTTTTTTCCTAAAAGCGAAAATATGGAATTGGGCCAGAGACAGGAAGCAACATGCCCAAAGTTTTCAGTGGAAGAATGGGAAGGTAGAGCCAAAGTGTTCTACTCCTCAGTCAGATCATTATCACAGTCTGCCAACAGGACCCTGGTTAGCAACTGGAGATTCAGCTTAGAGTCAGGGAGCAGCCAGCTAGAAGGCTGTGGGGCTAACTCAAGCTAAAGAGAACAGGGATTCAAAACAGACCAGAGCTGGAAGACACACAAAGAAAAGCACACAATTGAGAGATTTAAGAGAGTGGACACACAGAGAGCTAAGCGACAGCCTGCAGCACTGGCCAGCATCCCATATGGGTGCTGGTTCCAGACCCAGCTACTTCACTTCTTATCAAGCACCCTGCTAATGGCCTGGGAGGAAGATTTAGACACAGGGAGAGGGAGAGACAGAGAGAGAGAGAGATCTTTGGTCTCCTGGTTCGCCTCCCAAATGGCTGAAATAGCCAAGGCTGAGCCAGGTCGAAGCCAGGAGCCAGGAGCTTTCTTTGCGTCTCCCACATGGGTGCAGGGGCCCAAGCACTTGGGCCATCATCCACTGCCTTCCCAGGCCGTTTGCAGGGAGCTGGGAGCTCTTCGGCCATTTGGATAAAGCATCCCTGTATGTCCCAATCTTCCTTTATCAGTGTCTTGAATTCCTGACTCAGCTCCTTCCCCCACCTGGGCTCCACCTTCTGGATACATTGCTGGTTGTCACTACATGGCACTCAGGAAGAAGCTTAGCATGCTATGACCTACAGAGCCTGGCTATACACGTCATTGCTGTCATTCTGATAACTTTAAGCAAGAGCTATACTGAAGTTTTAACTAGAAATTCATTCAAAAGAGAAAATGAATCTATCAGCAGTGAAAAGTACAACACATTTTCTCATAAGGACGTAAGTAAGAACAAAATGGGTTTCCATGGAAATTTCTTCTTACATAATTCAAATAATGTTCATAGCAGTCCACAAAGCTATGGAAAAGTAAGAAGACCATTTCAAGATGTCTCAAGAAACAAGAGGCTCAAGGGCTTGCCAGCGTTAAACTGCTGGAGCCCAACTCAAACAACTGTCTTCCAGACCTCAGTTCCTTTCACTGGATGAGGATGCATTGGACATTAGGACTGCAATGACTCAAACTCAGTGATTAATTCACACAATTCAACATAGCTGACCATAAACTGCTTCTCTTGGCTGCCAACTCAGATTTTAATAATTATGTCTAATATACAAGATGATCATCCAAATCTGTGTTTATGTACACACATTTGCTAATAGATGAGGTGCAGTTAATCCAAATGTTTTGATATTTGAAGGCTGGATATATGTAACACAGTGAAATGCATGATCTAACCTAACAAAATCGCACAGGAAAAAGCCTAGCCTGTGGCGTGAGGGACGAGTTGGTACAGGTGGGCAGGCAAAGTGTCCTTCCTCGGCATGACTATCATGCCCTCACTGCTAAGGAGAAGCAGGGTTCTTAAAAATACTGGCTTTTCCTGGTACTTAGCTTCCAATTTGACTCAAACTACCTCTCAAGCACAAAGTGTCCTTGGGCATTCCACATGAATAGAACGCCCAGCCTCCCTGTTTGCAAGGGAGTTCTTGGCTGCCTCTGAAAACCCAGTACAACAGAGGCAGGGATCGTTTCTTATTTGGTTGTAAAAAGTGTGCTTTCTACAAAGTGCCACTGAGCACGAGAGTGGAAATTCAGCGCTCGGCAGAGTTAGAGGTGAGTGCACCTTGTGGAGCAGGCCTCGCAGACTACCTGAGCACTGCTGCCAGCGAATACAGTGGCGGCGGACAGCACCTCCTGCACCACTGGGATCTCGGAATCTGCTGAGTCATCAACGGACAGCACCTCCTGCACCACTGGGATCTCGGAATCTGCTGAGTCATCAACGTATTCTGGTTCACTCTGGCCTGCTGAGTTCTCCTTCACTTCCGGTGCCACTGTTTCCACTGTGTTGTTCAGGTTCTCGGTATCCACTGAATTATCCAAGTCTCCTGCCTCTTCCAGGCTCACAGAATATTCCAGGTCCACTGGATCCTTCAGCTTCTCCGGATCCACTTCAGATTCGTATCCAAAGCTCTGCCAGGATTGGGCTAAAGAAGACAATAGAGTGGAATTCAGACAAAAAAAAAAAAAAAAACTCTGAGTTATCAAAGAAATTAGACAACAGTGAAATCCAGTTCAATTCTACAATAAGAATGAGATGTGTCAGGAATCACTAACAACACTATTTTTAAAATTTTTTTCATGTTTGAAAATTAAGAAAAAGGAGGAGGAGTCTGAATTTACACCTGCCCACTCCTCCAGCACTGGTGCCTAGGCTCATTTCAGTTGTTAGTGCTGTTTCATTATCAATTCTTTCATCTCTGCTCCAGGAAATTGGGTACCAATCAACTGAGTTGGTTGAAAATGAACTGAGAACAGTTAGTCATCAATCACTTCTGAACAACTGAATTCTCTAGAAAGTGGGAATTGCGACCAGGGGGCTTTGAAGGGCCCTGGGAGATGTGACAACATGACTTTTCTTCAATAGCAAAGAATATCGAATAATGTGAAATGGCACAGCCATTTTGGAAAAGCAATTTGACAGTCTGTACAATGGTTGAACGCACACTTCCCTTACAACCCAGCAGTACCATGCCAAGGAATTTGCTCAAGTGAATTGAAAATGTACATCCAGGGCCAGCGCTGTGGCTCACTTGGTTAATCTTCCGCCTGCGGCGCCCGCACCCCAGGTTCTAGTCCCAGTTGGGATGCTGGATTCTGTCCCGGTGGCTCCTCTTCTAGTCCAGCTCTCTGCTGTGGCCCGGGAAGGCAGTGGAGGATGGCCCAGGTGCTTGGGCCCTGCACTGCATGGGAGACCGGGAGGAAGTACCCGGCTCCTGGCTTCGGATCAGTGTAGCACTGGCCCTAGCAGCCATTAGGGGAGTGAACCAACGGAAGGAAGACCTTTCTCTCTGTCTCTCTCTCACTGTCTGTAACTCTCTCTCTCACTGTCTAACTCTGCCTGCCCCCCCAAAAATGTATATCCAACAAAACCTCCATGTAAATATTTACTCATAAACACCAAAAACATGGAAACAATCAGACATCCTACTACAGGTGACTGGATTTAAAAATGTGGTATATGCAAAAGATATGGTACTACTCAGCAGCAAAAAGGAACGAAATGATGCTTGAGGCAACATGCATGAATCTTAATTGCATTTTGGAAAGTAAAAGAAACAAGGCCAAAAGAGCTAGACATTGTATGATTCAATTTACATTACATTCTGGAAGAGGGAAGCCTACAAAGATGGAATTGTAGATCCATGGTTGTCAGGGTTTGGGAGACAAAAGCTTAGTATAAAGAGTTTGCACAAAGGAATTTTGGGGATGATTGAACTATTCTGTTTGGTACTGTGGTGATGGACACATGACTCTTAGCCTTTCTCAAAACCCATAGAACTGTACACCCCAAATGGTGAATTTTGATGTATATAAATTTAAAAATGAATTGATCATGATATGAGGAAGCCCAGTTTTGAATGCAGACTGTGGCAAATGAATCTAACAGCATTAAAAATAAATGATGTATCCACAGTGAATAAAGCCTAAGTCACTTCAGAAAACAGTGGTTATGGTGCCAGTGCTATGATATAGCAAATAAAGGAAGCAGCAGCTTGCAGCACCAGCATCTATATGGGCACCAGTTCAAGTTCGTGCTGCTCCACTTCTGATCCAGCTCCTTCTTAATATGCCTGGGAAAGCAGTGGAAGATGACCCAAGAACTTAGGCACTTGTATCCACAAAGGAGACCCGGAAGAAGCCCCTGGCTCCTGGCTCCTGACTGACCCAGCTCATAATCCACATTTTCATGAGTTTTTAGAAGACCCCTTCATATGCATGGGTCTCAAAATTTTATCGCACCAAAATAAACTTTTATCTTTTAATCCATTTTTTCATGAATTTTTTGAAATACCCTCATATCTTAAAAACGAAAGTGTAGAAACTGTAAAATTTACTAATTAAAAATAGAAGTATGACTTCTATATATGGAGATTCCACAGTAAAAATTTATCTATGATAGAATTCCACTAATTAGAGGACATGATCTATATTAGCAGATCTTTAAGCTTTGTGTTTTTTATACAAGTACAGTTGTGAAATGTATTTAATGCAGAAACTCATGTAATAACGTTTTAGAGACTATCATTTTCCCCTTTTATTCTCATTAAAACTGAGTAATGCAAAGTTTCTTTGGACTACAACTACTGTGCCATAGCAGAATAGACTGCATGAATATGAAAGATAAAGTGCTATTCCTCCCAGGACTGATATCTAGCACTTTAGAAGAGTAAAATTAAATGAGAGAAAATGATACTATTCCCAAGCACTTGAACTTGTGATGAGATGTTCATTTTTCATTGCTCTCAAATCATCCTCTCAATAAATTCACAGAAGATGAAGAAAGCTGGAATTCTCTCCTGTGATCTTATACCATTGCAAATATAGTATTATCTTCATCTGAAAAGCTGTAACCACTTTGTAGGTTCACTGTTTTTCTTCTGTTCATCTCCATCCAAAAACCCAAATTTACCTACCAGGAGAATCAGAAGATGTTTTGGAGTCGTAAGAAGAGTCAGACTCTATCTTAATCACTTCAACTTCTTGTGATCCATACTGCTGGACTGCTACCAAACCAGTTTCATCCTATGAATTTCCAAAAGATAAAGGAGATGACATTTCATTTTGGAGGTAGAGAGATAAATGACAGAAACAGAGGCAGAACACAATGTATCACATTTCACAACCACATTTCTAACATTGCTTCAATCATCTGAAAATTTAACACAAAATCACCACATGTGTCCTTGAAAAATGTTGCTGGAAGGAAACAGCAAGCAGAGATTATGGGCATCACAAGGTAAACATTGCCAAACCAAAGGAGAGAGACACCATATGTATGTATGCTAAAAGCAGAAGAATTTAAAAATGTCCCTATCAAAGTCCTGACAAACACATTATGCCTTTCAATGGAGTTAGTAGGAGTAGTAGCCAAGGATGGCCAGTCACCTCATCTTCCATTCCTCATTACTAGCCTCAAATCACTGGTTCAAAGAAAAGCAGGACAGCAGTGGGAAAACTGCACCACTGTACACTGATGGGGCCATCTTCTCAGAATACCTACACATGCAGCTTAGGCTTAGATCAAGAAAAGGTCAACTGGATGCTGTTTAAGTACTACTTCATATTTTTTAAATTTTGTATTAATGTGTCACAGCACAATAATTTGGTACATGTATTCAGTGATCATCAGGTTAGTCAGCATTTCCATCTCAAACATGTTTTTAATGAATAACACAAATTGTACATATTTATGAAATATAGCTTGATACTTCAATATGTGTATTCAATGTGTACTGATCAAACCAGAGCAATTAACATTTCCCTCTACTTGTCTTAGTTTATGTTTGGAGTCTTCAAACTCCTCTCTAGAGGGAGGTAGGATAACAGGTACCAAAACATAATGAGATGAGATGGAAGGAGTACATTCTAAGGTTCTACAGCACAGGTGAGTAACTATAGTTCTCAATAACCTGTTAAATATCTGTATTTTAGATGAATTGACATTGAAAATAATATTAGAAAAATCACTAGTAGTTGAGAGAGAAAATGTTCTTGAGAAATCCAAGTGCAACAGTCTCATTTGATAGTGTCAGACAAGACAAGGTCATACAGCATGTTAGGGGCATGGCAAGAGAGACTCCATTTTTGTCAAACCCAGTGCTCTTATTCCTAAGCCTGGCTACTTCTTTTTAAGCCATGTGCTACTTTAAACTGTATGCAGATGCTCCTTCACTTATAATGGCATAACCTCTTGATAAATTCATCACAAGTTGAAAATAGCGTATGTGGAAATTGCATTGAATCCACCTAGCCTATCAAACATCCCAGCATAGGGTGTGGGTTGTTCCACTTGATTGGGAGATGCAGTTCACTGCCACTGGCCAAACACTACAAGAGAAGATTAGAGTGCTAGCTAGGAAAAGATCAAAATTCAAAAATCACAATACCGATTTTATCAAGTGTGCATTGTTCTTACAGTATCATGTGTGAGAAAATCATAATCTAAGCCATTGTATATCGGGGCAATTTGTATACTATATGCATGTTGGGTTATCTAGTTCCATTTCCTTAACAACTGGATCCCTTTTTAATGGTCTGTGGGTCACTGTTCATATGACATTTAAGCACATGGTTAAGCAATGAAATATTTTACACATCTGTCAAAATACTTTGGGGTTTTTTTTATTGGTTTGTTTGTACTAGCTAAAGCACCGACATCTATGTTGATTTTTCTACAAGGAATCTGTTTCTTGGATTACATCCTAGCATTTCAACTTCAGGAAACTGTGTAGCCTCGAAACAACTGCTTTGTTTTGTACTCCTTTAAAAAAGTGATATGTTGCTAGAGATGTGTCAATACTTTTTATATTTAGAATAAAATTATGACAGGGTGGTATTCACTGAGATAGGATATGATCTCTCTTTCCTTTCTTTTGTTCTTTTTTTTAAAAAAGATATTTATTTGAAAGACAGAGTTACATAGAGAGATAGAGCTGGAGAGAGAGAGAGAGAGAGACAGAGAGAGAGAGGTCTTCCATCTGCTGGTTCACTCTCCAAATGGCCTCAACAACCAGAGCGGAGTTGATCCGAAGTCAGGAATATACCCCTCCTTCTGCGTCTCCCGCGTGGTTCACCCCCGGCCCCTTCCCTGGTACTGGGGTGGCGGCGAGGGGGGGGGGGGCGG